CGTGCGCAGAGGCGCGGGCCCGGGGCGGCGGCTCCGCTCCCGAGTTCCCCCCACGCCCGACACCCATGTGGTTCCGGCCGGGCTGCCGCGGTTCCGGCGCCGAGGCGGAGGCGTGGGCGCCCCTCGGTTCACACGCAGTGGTTTGGCCCGCGCTGGCGTCACAGGCTTGGGCGTGGATCCTTCCCTGAGCACAAATTCTTAGGGTGGATACAGTCCTGAGACTACGGAGATTTGCGAGGGAAAACTTAGTGGGGCGACCTGGTTTTTATTTTTGAGACAGGATCGCACACCACATATTGTCCATGCTGGCTTCAAACATATTGTGTTGGCCAGATTGAGCTAAAACTCAAGGAGATCTTCCTGCTAACCTGCTGAGCATTACAGGGCTGACTGACGAGGGTGGGGAGGGGCTTGGGAAAATACTGAACATTGCTCAGATATTTCATAAAAATAACAATCATGAGCCTGGCATAGTGGGACACGCCTTTTTTTTTTTTTTTTTAAAGATTTTATTTATTATGTATAGTGTCCTGTCTGCACGTATGCCTGCAGACCAGAAGGGGGCGCCAGATCTCACTACAGATGATTGTGAGCCATCATGTGGTTGCTGGCTATTGAACTCGGGACCTCTGGAAGAGCACCCAGATGCTCTTAAGCGCTGAGCCATCTCTCCAGCCCCAGGGGCACATGCTTTTAATCTCAGCACTGGATGGCGGCGGGGAGTGGGGGGGGGGTAAGGGGACAGGCAGATCTCTGAGTTTGAGGACAGCCTGGTCTATATACTGAGTTCTGGAACAGCTAGGGCTACATAGTGAGACCCTGTATTGACCCCCTGCCAAAAAAACCCAAAAAACAAAATAGTAACAATAGGGTCTAGAGAGATGATTCAGCAGTTAAGAGCACTGGCTTCTCTTCCAAAGGACTTGGGTTCATCCCTAGCGTCCACATGGTGGCTCACAATTGTCTGTAACTCCAATTCCCGGGGATTGAAAGCACTCTTCTAGCCTCTACAGGCACCAGGCACTCACATGGTGCACAGACATAAACGCAGCCAAAACATCTATAGATGTAAAATAAAAACCACCACCAATTAGCTTCATATCTTCTTTCATAACTCTTGTCCATTACCTGCATTCAGTCCTAATCCATTCACTTATACTTAACTTTTCTTGTTCTTTTGTTATACTGTACCCCATGTGTACATTTGCTTACACATATACATATATTATTGGCTAATTCCAAATATAACATGCATTTTTTTCTGAGATTAAAATACATTCTAAGTCCATCCATTTTTCTGCAAATTTTTAACTTGTTTTGTTAGCACTAAATAACATTCCATTTTTTAATACATGGCTAACGAAAATTTGGTGTGTGTGTATGTATTAATGGACAACTAGGTCAATTCCATTCTTTGCTAGTGATTAAAGTAGCAATAAACATGGGGGTGCCAATATCTCTACGGTAGCGTATGGAGTTCTCTGGGTATGTGCCTAGGAGTGAAATAGCTGGGTCATATGGCAGTTCCAGTTTTAGTTCTTTAAGAAGTCTCCAAACTGATTTCCACAATGACTTTACATTAACTTGCACCAGCACCAACAGTGAATAAGAGTTCCTTTCTCTCCACATCCTTTCCAACATTGGTTGTCAGATTTATTGATAGCCATTTTGACTGTGGTGAGGTGGTATCTCAAAGTAGTTTTAACTTGCATTTCCCTAATGGCTAGGGGTACTGAACACTTTTTTCTTTCTTTTTTTTTTAAAGATTTATTTATTTACTATGTATGCAGAAGAGGGTGTCAGATCTCATTACAGATGGTTGTGAGCCACCATGTGGGTGCTGGGAATTGAACTCTGGACCTCTGGAAGAGCAGTCAGTGCTCTTAACCTCTGAGGCATCTCTCCAGTGCCCAATACTGAACACTTTTTAAAAATTGTTATTGGCCATTTTTTGTTGGGTTTTCTCTGTGTGGACCTTGAACTCAGAGATCCACTTGTCTCTGCCTCCTGAGTACTAGGATTAAAGGCACGTTCCTCTGCTGGCCACCACTGCCACCACCACTACCACCCATGTCTCCCCCTTTTTTTTTTTTTTTTTTTTTTGGTTTTTTGAGACAGGGTTTCTCTGTGTAGCTTTGCACATATCCTGGAACTCACTTGGTAGTCCAGGCTGGCCTCGAACTCACAGAGATCCGCCTGGCTCTGCCTCCCGAGTGCTGGGATTAAAGGCGTGCGCCACCACCGCCCGGCTCATGTCTCCCCTTTTTAAGACAGGGCTTCTCTTTGTAGCCCTGGCTGTCCTGGAACTCACTCTGTAGACCAGACTGGCCTCGAACTCAGATATCCACCTGCCAGAGTGCTGGGATTAAAGGCGTGTGCTACCATGCCTGGCTCATTTGTATTTTTTGATGACTGCAGTTTTGTTTCCTTGGTATTCAATTTCTGCAGTTCTTTGTATATTCTGGCTATCAGCCCCTTGTCTGAGATGTAGCTAGTGAAGATTTTCTTCTGCTCTGTAGGCTGTTGGCCCTGCCCACTGTTCCCTTTGCTGTACAGAAAGTATTCATTTTCATGCAGTCCCACTTGTTGATAGTGTGGGTTAGTTCCTGTGCTCTGTTCAAAAAAGTTCTTTGGGTCAGGCATGGTGACACATGCCTTTAGTCCCAGCACTTGGGAGGCAGAGGCCTGGTCTACACAGTGAGTTCCAGGACAGCCAGGACTACATATTGAGACCCCAGAAAGAAAAATGAAAGGAAAAAGAAAGGAAAGCAAGGAACCCCCAATACCTTGAAAGGTATTTCCTATGTTTTCTTCTAAAAGTTTGAGTGTTTCAGGGTTTTTTTTTTAATTCTTTTTTTAAGGTTTTATTATTTATTTATGTATATGAGTGCTTTATCTGCATGTACAACTTTATACCAGAAGAGGGCATCAGATCCCACTAGAGATGGTTGTGAGCCACCATGTGGTTGCTGGGAGTTGAACTCAGGACCTCCTGAAGTGCTCTTAACCACGTGTTTCATGTTTAAATTAAGGTCTTTGGTAGAGGTTGTAAGCCACCCTGGTCCTCTGCAACAGCAGACAGTGCTCTTAGCCACTGAGGCATCTCTCCAGATCCTTAGGTTCTTTTTACAAAGTATGTTCTTGTTTCTTTTGTTTAAAATGAAGTGGGGATAGCTTAGCCATTTTATTTCTGGGTACTCTATTCTATTACTGGTCTGTCTATTTGTTCAAGTACCAGGCTGTCTTTATCACTACAGCTCCATAGTATAATTTGAGGTTTGGTAGGTTCAGTAGGTTCTGAATAATTGCTTTGACTATACATGGTCTTTTGTAGTTCCATATGAATTGTTTTTTCTAAACCTGTGAACTATGACATGGTAACTCTGATAGGTACTTCATTAATTCTATAAATTATTTTGGTTGTATAGATATTTTCACAATATTGATTCTGTCTATCCAGAAATATGGAATAATTTTCCACTGAGTAGTATTGTCTGTGACTTCTTTGTTCAGTATCTTGAACTTTTCTTTGTGGAGATTTTTCACTTCTTTGGTTAGATATATTCCTAAATACTTAATTTTGGAGGAATTACTTTGAATGAAATATATTCCCTATTTTCTTCCTTGGAGAATAGCCTGTTAGTATAAATGAAGGCTACTTACTGTTTTTTTTGAGACAGGGTCTCACTATGCAGCCCTGACTAGCCTTGAACTCACAGGGATCTGCCTGCTTCTGCCTCCTGGGCACTGAAAGGCTGTTTTTAATAATGATTTTGTATCCTATTACTTACTCTTGAGTGTTTATTAGGTCCATGAGTTTTCTACTAGGCTCAAAAAGGTATTTTAGGTAAAGATTCATGTCATGAAGAAGCCACAACCATCTTGATACCAAAACCAGGAGGAGAAAAGAGAGAAAGAGAAAGAGAGAGAGAAAGAGAGAGAGAGAGAGAGAGAGAGAGAGAGAGAGAGAGAGAGAGAGAGAGAGAGAGAGAATGAACAGAAAACTACAGACCAATTTTTTTGATGAACATAGATGCAAAAATTCTTAACAAAATGCTTACAAACTGAATTCAGGAATACATTGAGAAGATTACACATTATGACCAAGTGGGCTTCATCCCAGAAAGGCAAAATTGTTTCAACATACATACATCAGTAAATGGAATACATCATATAAACAAACTCAAGGACAGAAATCACATTATTTCAATTGATGCTGAAAACACATTTGACAAAGTTCAACATTTTTTATGATAAAAGCTCTGGAGACTGTAGGAATGGATGGAAAATACCACAAAATAATAAAGGTTATGTTCAATAAACCAACATTGTATTATAGCCAACACTGTATTAAATGGAGACATATTGAGCATTTCCTCTAAAATCAGGAATGAGATAAGAGAAGATGACCACTCTTCCCTATCTTATTTGATACAGTGTCAAAGTCTTAGCTATAGCAATTAGACAAGACATAAAAGGGATAAGGAAGGGGAAAAGCCACACTCTCCTTATTTCTTTTTGGAGACAAGTTCCTGACTGACCTGGAACTTGCTATGTAGACCAGGCTGGCCTCACACTCATGGAAATCTGTCTGCCTATGCCTACTGAATGCTAGGAACAAAGATGTGTGCTAACACACCCAGCACATTTCCTGTTTTTAGTTTTTGAAGAAAGGGTATTTGATGAAGCTCAGACTGTCCTAGAACTCATGGAAATCTTCCTGTCTCAGCCTCTCAAGTGACAGATTACAGATATGGGCTACCACACTTGGAGATTCATGTCTTTTAATGTCTGTTCTTTGGCTAGAGAGTTGTTTGCCTTTGTACAATAGACAGCAATCTGCCTCTTTTCCTGGTGGTCCCGGGGATGGAACCCAAGGCTTTACTAGGCACACACCACACGGAGCCCATCCCTAGCCCCAATTACCTGTATCATCCTATTCTGGGGTGTTCATTCTGTTCAGTGTGTACCACAGGCTGACAAATTAGTGTTTTTTGGGGGGGGGGGGGCGTTGAGACAGGGTTTCTCTGTGTAGCTTTGCGCCTTTCCTGGAACTCACTCTGTAGACCAGGCTGGCCTCGAACTCACAGAGATCCGCCTGCCTCTGCCTCCCGAGTGCTGGGATTAAAGGCGTGCGCCACCACCATCCAGCAAATTAGGTATTTTTACCTGTGGCTCAGATCTAAGTCAAATATCATTTACTGCATGAATGACTTAAGCTTCAAGGATAATTTAGAAGCAGCTGTGTCTAAGGTTTTGACTTCTTAATTACTGAGCCATCTCTCCAGCCCCTAAGGCTCTGACTTCTCTTGTTGACTTTTATCTTGGGCCATTAAGCAGGAAAGAGGTTCAGGACTCTCGACAATAACCTTTTTTAAAATATAGTCACCTAGGGCAAGCAGAGAAACTGCATGAGTCAGAAATACCTCTTAAGCTCCAAGCTAATGTTTTGGGACTAAAAGTGACTGGCTCCTTTGGAGATTAGAAGTAAGCCATCCCATCTGTGGGCATAAGTCTCCATTTCTCTTCAGTGCATCATCATCAGCTCAGTGACATTTCTGGAGATCTGCCCTGGATTAAGGATGACAGACGCCCCTACTAGAGCTCCCAGTGGGAGCAGCAGGCAGTTTCCCTTACTCTGACAAACTACCAGACATAAAGGAAGTGTAAGGAGGAGAGGTCTGTTTCCCTTCACAGTTTTGGAGGTTCTAAGTCATGACCTAAGTAATCTCTACCAGGCCTTTATCTTTCAAAGGTCAGAAATAAGTGCTACTGGCATCATCCTGGGCAAGAACCCTTTAAGATATGGACATATGGGCTGGAGAGATGGCTCAGTGGTTAAGAGCATTGCTGTTCTTTCCAAGGACCCAAGTTTGGTTCCCAGCGCCCATGTCCAACAGCTTGCAATTTCCTGTAACTTCAGCTCCAGGGGGACTCAACACTCACGGACTCATAATCACACACTCTCACCCAGGCACACACATACATATAACTAAAAATCCAATAAATCTTAAAAAAAGAAAGGCATGGGCCTTTGAAAGCCATTCCAGACCCAAACTCAGGAAGTTGTTCTGAGATGTAGCACTGGAGATCCTATGGTGTTTGTCTGGGGACAGAGTTCATAGTTTCTATGTTCCCAGAGTGAGTTCTGTATTGGATGGGTAATTTAACTTGTCCTGTACCCTGAGCAGGGACACGAGGCTAAGAAATGAAGTAGTTCTACCTCAGTCATCTCAGTTCCCACCTGAATTCCCAGCTCACACACTGGTTTGGATTTTATCTTCCCACTTTTTAAAATGAACTCTATTACACTCTAAATTTTGGTAAATAGTCTGGTCTGTGTACTCACGTTCCTGTCCTTGTACCTCAAAGGAGGACAGAACAATTATCCCCATCTTCTCCACGGCATCCGGTGTAGACTGCTACACAACTCGTGACAGCCTAGGTGCTGGCAGTGCTCCACATGTCAGTCTTCATCTGAGACACTGGGGCCTACGTACTGGCAGATAGTGTCATAGTGGAGCTCCACCACCCGATTCTCTCTCCCAAGTTGTACCAAAGCCTGACTCTGCACGCTGTCCCGACTCAGAAGAAGTCCCACCTGAGGAGGGATGGGGTAGAGTCAGTAAGGTCAGCCCAGATCCTCAGTGATCTTCAGACTCATTTCCAGGCATGGGAACTCACCTTTCCAGCGTGTGGTCCCAGCACCACCATCACACGGTGGCCCTCGCCCTTGGGAATCAGGGTTTCCAGCATGCCTTCTCTCACGCCTGCAGATGAGGGAGAGGGGAATGAGGTCCAGAGCAAGGGCCAGCCTGGCCAGATCCTGTCAGGAGGGCCCTTGCTAAGATTTATTAGAGGTACTCTTTCTCCCCTCTCCAGACAAGGTTTCTCTGTGTAGCCTTGGATGTCTGAGAACTTGCTCTGTAGCCCAGGCTGGCCTCGAACTCACAGAGATCCATTGTCTCTGCCTCCCAAATGCTGGGATTAAAGGCGTGCACCACCACCGCCCGGCAGAGCTACTCTTACACCCTGTTGATAGATGGAGTCCCGCACTACCAATTTCACAGGTGAGAAGATCAAGGAGTAATTCACAGAAATAACCGCCATACAGGAATATTTTCCTACAGAAACTATTTACTGGGAACATTCTCAGCCTGCCCTGCAGTGTGAACTCAGTATACTTCTTCTTGTAAAGGCAATAGTTTTGACAGCGATGAATAGTTATTTTAATGCTAATTGACATGGGAAATACACAGGGTTTAGGTAATCCCTCTTGAAGAAGTATCTGCTCTGGAAGAGGATGCTGGGCCTTGCAAAGAACGTGAGCCCTGCCCAACTGCCCAGCTCGTGGCCTCAGATACCATTCTTTTTTTTCTTTTCCTTCCTTCCTCTTCTTTTTTTTTTTTTTTAGTTTTTTGAGACAGGGTTTCTCTGTGTAACAGCTCTGGCTGTCCTGGAACTTGCTCTGTAGACTAGGCTGGCCTCAAACTCACAGAGATCCGCCTGCCTCTGCCTCCCCAAGTGCTGGGATTAAAGGTATGTGCCACCACTGCTTGGCCCTCAATTTCTTTTTAAAACAGGATCTTATACCATAGCCCAGGTTGGCCTAGAACTCACTATAGTCCAGGCTGAACTTGGACTTGTAGGAATCCTACTTCAGCCTCCTAAGTACTGGAATGGCTTCTTTCTTTTTTCTTACATTTCTTTTAGACTTATTTCTTTTATGTGCATGAGTGTTTTGCTTGCACATGTCTGTGGCACCATGTGTATGTCTGTTGCTCACCGATGTCAGAAGAGGGCATCAGATCATCTGAAACTGGAGTTACAGACAGTTGTGAGCCGCCACGTAGGTGCTTGGAATTGAACCTGGGTCCTCTGGAAGAGTAGCCAGTGCTCTTAACTACTGAGCCACCTCTCCAACCCCTGGAATGGACCCTTTCTTTATCACCCTCTAGGATGGGAACATCACAGGTATAGTGGCTCAGAGGTACCTTCTAGAACTCGGCCTTCATCTGTCCGACACACACAAGTATCTGGGCTGAGGACATCTTCAATCGTCATCTAGAGATGAATGGGGAGGAAGTAAGATGTTAGAGGGTTAAGGGCCCAGTCCCTGGGTAAGGAAGGGATTCTGGTTGTGGGGTCCTACCTTGGTGTTGTAATACCGGCCCCCCTTGTGCAGTTTGTCAATGAAGCGCACACGTAAGTCCCTGTGCAGCCAGTGCGTGTTCTTAGCGGCGGCCTTCTCACTCTTTGCCACCGCTTCATCCTGCCTGTGGAGAAAGCCAGCGCCTGCTTAGGGGTTTGTCCCAGCCATGTTAAAGCCAACCTACCTTTAAGGGCCACCCCTACTGCTGTCCCCAGTTCCTTCTATGCCCTGCCTTGCCCTGCACATTTTCCCTGACTGCCTGAGCCACCCCATACCTTGCCTTCTTCTGCAAGCCCAGAGGCCCGGGCTCCTGCCCAGGCTCCTCCTACCTGTCTGGGGAGTGTTTCCGCTTCCTCTCTGAATCCTTCTGCCGCCTCCTTGAGTCCTCCTGATTCTGGAGGGCTTTCAATGACAGGGCTGTTCCAGTTGTTCTGTGCTGCTCTGTGGAAGTTTTACTCACGTGGCCTGTTCAAGGGGGTATAGGGACATCAAGGAGAAAGTCTCACTGACATTTCCTCTCAAGGGCCATTGTCCTCTTGCCAAAGGCCCCAATCCCTATCTACCTCCTTCAAGAAGCTGCTCTCGAGACCCCAGCCTCCAGCAGACACAGTGGAGTCAACTGCCTAGTGTACATAACAAAGTAGAAGAAGAACTGCAGGGACCTCTAGCTGCCCCCAATCATTACTGCTCTGTTTGCCTCTCCTTTGCACACACCCTAACCCTAGTCTCCTATGTAGCCCAAGAGAGAACCATCACTCCAAATACACAAGGCCCTCCTGGGGGTAGGAACTGCTTTCCATACTCATTTCTTGCTGCTTGGAGGGGTGCAGACACAGGGTATTAGATCAGTCCCTTCTCAGTCAAACTGAACAGACTAGGTGGGATATGGCCCAATGGTCGAGCCCACTTAGCACTGTCAAGGCTCTGGGTTCTATCCCCAGCACCGCCACACAAACAAAAGTGAATAAACTATTCTTGTCCCCGCTCATGCCTGACCTCTGACTGCAAGTCCCACACTGCTCCTCCTCCCTCCAGATCTGGAGAGAACCTGTCTGTCCCCGTGCCTCCCGAAGTTTCCAGCTATAAGGGTCTCACCTGGCTGTGAGGCGTGGTTATCAAACTCCTGCTGCGAAACAGGCCGTAGGCAATACTCACTAACAGTCACAACGCGGTTGCCTGCTGCCAGACGAACCATGGCCCGAACATTGTCAGGATCAAGGCCTTCTACCTAAGGGGGAGGCAGGGATAAGGCAGGGGGTGAATGGACTACAGCTGCTAGGTCTGAAATGTCTAGCCCTTACATCCAGCAGGTTTGAGCTGTGTCTCTCTTACCTTGTTGTGACCTGTTCGTTGGTTTCGTTTTTGGATACAGGTTCTCACTATGTAGCCTCGGCTGGCCTATAACTAAAATCCACCAGTCTCTGAGTGCTGGGATTAAAGGTGTAGACCGCTATGCCCACTGTATGCTGTGACCTTTGATGGCTAGGACCAGGCATGGTTCCTTTATCCCTTCTACCAAACTGTGACTCCTAAGAAGTGGGACCAGGCACATGTTCCCGGGTCTCCCCTAGCAAAATGTAAAACGAAGACTTCTTTGTGTGTATACGTGGTATACACACAGGTACCTACTGTTTGTGTGCTGTGTGCACATGTGTGTGGAGGAAAGACATCCACATCAGGTGTCTTCCTTGAATGCTCATCACCTTATGCTTTTTCCTTTTTCCTTTTTTTTGAGACTATGTAGCTAGCCTTGGCTGACCTGGAACTTACTATATTACCAGGCTGGCTTCAAAGTTACAGAGATCTCTTTGCCTTTGCCTTTTAAGTGCTGGGATTAAAGGTGTAAATAACCTTACTTTTTGGAAATTTTTAGTTCATATATGTGCGTCTTTTGCCTGCATGTATGTGTCTGTACATCCTGTCATGTGTATGCCTGGTATCTGCTGAGCCCAAAAGAAGGTGCTGGATCTCCTGTGAACTGCTATGTGGGTGCTGGGAATCGAATACAGGTCCTTTGAAGAGCAGCAAGTGCTCTTAATGGCTGAGCCATCTCTCCAACCCCAAAACCTTTTTTTTTTTTTTTGAGACAGTGACCCTGGAGCTCACTGACTCAGCTAGGCTGGCTGGCCAATGAGCCTCAGAGATCTTAGAGTCTCTACTCCCCAGCTTTGGGTTATAGATGCATGTGTGCCTAGCTTTTATGTGGGTGCTGGGGATCCAAACTCATGTCCTTATGCTTGCGTGCCTGTCAGTCACTTCACACACTGAGACATCCCCCTACCTCTCACTTTTTTCAAGATAGGTTCCAGGCTAGACTAGTACTTGTCATATAGCCCAGGCTGGTCTCAAACTTGCAGCAATTCTCCTGTTTTAGCTTCTGAGGTACTGGGTTTGCATGCATGCATGCATAAGCCACCATGCTTGCTTCAGACATCCTGTAAACGCTTAAGTTTCATGGACACTGTGGGAAATGGCATTTTCTCCATTCTGGTTGAGAACTGACGCTCAAAAAGGCCCAGCAAATTGTTCTGGAGTACCTACTGAAGCAGTGGACCAGGCAGGCCTGCAAGACCAGGACTTACAGGGCTGGAGAGATAGCTCAGCAGTTAAGACAGGTACTACTCTTGCAGAGGACCTGAGCTCAGTTCCCAGCATCCACGCTGGGTGGCTCACAACCACTTGTTAATCCAGCTCTAGGGTGAACTCACCTATACATACCTACCTACACACATACACTTATTTTTGTTGTTGTTTTGAGACAAGGTGTCACTATGTAATCTTGACAGGCCTGGAACTCACCATATCGACCAGGCTGGTCTCAAATTCATAGAGATCTGACAGCCTCTGCCTCCTGAGTGTTGGAATTAAAGGCATACACTACCACGCCTGGCTAGACATACACATAATTTAAGAAATAGTACTATGAAGAGCTTTGCATTGTGGGAGTTCCTTCCTTTCTCACTCCCTGGCCATTTTGGTGGCTGCTCTTGCCTGGGGGCTGTCCTGAACATACAATAGGAAGATGGTGGCCACAAAGACAGAAAGGTCTCTGGAATCAATCAACTCTAGTTCTAGGTTGTTATAAAAACTGAAAAGTAGATGCTGGGATACAAGTAGACTCTGAAGACGGTCAGACAGGGTAAAGCAACAGTGGTTATTCTCACCAACAACTGCCAGCTTTGAGGCAATCTGAAATAGAATACTCTGCCACGTTGGCCAAAATTCGTGTCCATATTGCGAGTGGTAATGATATGGAATTGGGCACAGCTGGTGGGAAGTACTACAGAGTATGTGCACTGGCTTGCTAGGTGATTCTGATAGTATTGGAGGCATGTCAGACAAACTGGTGGAAAGTAACCAGAAAACTTTTTAAATAACACTAGCAGAGCTCACTTAAAACCCACCCCTTTTGCTCTCTCTCTCTCTCTCTCTCTCTCTCTCTCTCTCTCTCTCTCTCTCTCTCTCTCTGCATGTAAATCCACGTGTGTGGGGGCTGAGAGGTATCACCAGGTGTCTTCCTCAGTCGCTCTGCACTTTACTGAAGCAGGGTCTCTTGCTGCATCTGGAGCTGGCCAGTTCAGGCTACTACAGATAGCCAGGTTGCTCTGGGGATTCTAGCTCCTCCTCCTGAAGGCTGGGATTACCTGCAGCTGCCACACTTTCCTGGCTTCTAGTAGGTTCCAGGGGGTCTGAACTCCAGTCAAGCTTGTATAGTAAGCACTTAGTCCACTGAGTCATCTCCCCAGCCCCTTCTCCTATTTTTTTGACACAAGGTTTTGCTGCATACCTAAGGCTGGCTTTGAACTCACTACATAGCTCAGGATAGCCCTGAATCTTCAGTAATCCTCCTGCCTCAATCTCCCGAATATGTCATCATGCCCATCCCTTGTCTTTCGTCCCCTTTCATTTAATTAAATTTTTTTTATTTCTGAGATTGTATTTTAATTACAACATTTCTCGCCTTCCCTTTCCTCCCTCCAAACCCTCACATATATCCCTCCCCACTCTTTCAAATTAAAAGCCTCCTTTTTTACCAACTGTTACTGCATGCATATATGTATTTGTATATACTATATATCCCTAAATACACCCTGCTCAGTCCGTATAATGCTACCTGTATGTGTTTTCAGGGCTCACTGTTTGGCACCAAAAAACCAACTGGTGTGCTGCTCTTCCCTGGGGAAGGCCACCTCTCCTATTCCCAGTTTTTCTCAGTTGTCTACAGTGCTTTGTGCAGGGCTGAGGCCTCACGGGTTTTTCTCCGTCCAGTCTGCCATGTTCACTGATGTCATCCTTGTTTAGCTCACATTGGGCAGTCATGTTGGAGAGACTTTAGGGTGTAGCTTCTGATGTTGCTAGGAGACAACAATCTCATAGCAAACTCCTCCCTGACCCTGGTCTTACATCGTTCTGCCTCCTTTTCTGCAATATTCCCTGAGGTTCAGGTACAGGAATGTTTTATAGACATATCTTTTGGGACTTGGTTCCACAACTCTGTATTTTGATTGGTTGTGGCTTTTATTTATTTATGAAAAGGAGTCTTGTTATGTATCCTAGGCTGGCCTTGAACTCTTGGAAATTCTTCTGCCTCAGTCTCCTAAGTGCTAGTATTACAGGTATGGTCCACTATGGCCTGTTCTTGGACTTCCCATGTAACCCAGGCAGGTCTTGAATTTGTGATCTCCCTGACTGTTTCTAGAGTGTTGGGATTACAGGCCTGGACCACGACACCTGGCTTCACTGACGGCCTTTCTACCCACAACTCCTCACTCTGGCCCTCAAATCAATCTTCCCTGCTGCCTGCCATGGCCTCAGGGGTATGTTGGTTTCTTACCTTCCCATAGAGGCCCCGGTAAGGGCCAGAAAGGACCACCACAGCTCCTCCAGGCATCAACCCTTGAGGCTGGCCTTCCTTATCTTTCTTTCGATCCCCATCTGGTCTTGGTGGGTGGTGAGAGGCAGTGGAGGTCAAGGCCTGGGCCTCCATCAGGTTGGCACCCAGCCCTAAGCCTTTGGGCCTAAGAGAGTTGACTCGGGGCTTCACTACTCTGTAGAGAAGAACACAGGCTTGTGAGAGTATAAGTCTTCAACACCTTCCTGCCAGGATCTAAACACACCCCAGACATACTTAGTTTTATTTATTTTACTTATTTGTGTATGCTTGTGCACCATGACACATACATGAAATCAGAGGACAACTTGTGGGAGTCTATTCTCTTTCTACCATGTCAGTTCTGAGGTCATCAGGTTTACAACCAAGGGCCTTTATCTGCCCGGCTATCTCACCAGCCCCACATCTATATTTAGATTACCCTTTCTGATATCACATTAGAACTTTCTGAGCTATAAAAATGCCAACTTTTCTTTTCTGATGTTAGGGGTCAAACGCAAGGCCTCAATGCATGATAAGGATACTCTACCACTGAGTTATACTTTCAGCCGCCCATTTGATTCAAGTGAATTAACTTGTTGCATATACTATCTATTACATCCTATGTACAAGTGCCAAGTTAGGCTGGCCTAAACAAATAGAGTAATTTCTCTCCAGAAGAAGTCATATGTTATGCATAGCGAGCAAGGGGAACAGTTCAGAATGCTCAATACCAATCAAAGTCACATTTGGCTACCAAATGACTTAGGAATTCTTGGGATTTACAACTGCAAAGGGATCTTGTTTTTCAGTCCCGGGATTCTAAGTCTACGAAGGAAGAGTAAACATGTTTGGTTTCTGCTTACTAGGGACTAAACCCTACCGTGTGTGCTGCATGGATATAATTTCATCTAACTCTTGCAGTACTACCACCTGCATTTTCTAGATGAGCAAACTGATCCACAAAGAGGCAACTTTATGTAAGTGGACCTTCTTACTGTTTTGAAGGCAAATCTGAGGTTGTCTGCTTTTTGTCTATTCTTTGGCTCTGTGGAAACCAGAGCTGGAAACAGAAGCAGGCGACCACTGAATTGGTGGGGGTGACAATGTCCGTCCTGTGCACCTGGATGGCTCTAGATTAACCATAACCACAGGGCTCTTGTTTATACCCAGGGTCCACCCCGCATTCCCCACCGAACTCACTGACTGAAAGTGTTGCCGATGCCCTTGCCAGGTTTCCATCCCATGCCTCGCAACATGGCCAGCCCATAGGCCTCCACAGGGACTGCCTCATAGTCAGCTTCCTTCGGAACCTATTGGTCAGGCAGGAGAAGGGAGTCAGGCTTGGCTTGCAATGTGCCCTGTTTGCAGTGTATTTCCTGCCACTCACAGGTGACTTCCTACACCCCTGGCCCTTGAACATCATGTCTGTGCCTGGTTTCAGTGGTGGTCAGAAGAAACACTGGATGCCCTGGAACTGGAGGGATGGATGGATGTGTGCCATGTGGGTAATGGGACTTCAACCCAGGCCTGGTCTCTAAAAGAGCAACAAGTGCTCTTAACTTCTGGGCCATTGCTCTAGTACCCTTATCCTCCAATTTTGTTTGTTTGTTTGAGACAGGATTTCACTATGTAGCTCTGGCTATCCTGGAACTCTCTATGTTGACCAGACCAGGCTGGCCTCTAACTCACAGAGATCAGCCTGCCTCTGCCTCCTAAGTGGTGGGATTAAAGGTGTGCGCCACCACACCTAGCTCAACAAGTATTTATAAAGAACCTATTATAGAGGCTGGAGAGAAAGCTCAGAGGGTAAGAGCCAGGGTGCACATTTATACATGTAGGAAAAAGACATACACATGAACTAAAAATAAATATGCCTTAAAATTTATTTAAAGGATCTATTCTGTAGAAAGTGCTATTTTAGGTGCTGAGGATAAGGAGCTAATAAAATGGAAAACCTTTGTTGGGGCTTATGTTCTAGTTGTCAAGGCATACAATAAATCAAATTCTGAAAACATGATACATCAGGTGGTGACACATTTTATAAAGAACAATAAATAAATAAATAAAGCAGTACTATGCACACTGGCACTGCCCAGTATCCTGTGTATGAGATGAGGAAGGAGTGTGGCTTAAAGCCAAGAATTTGAAACTAGCCCGGGCAGCATGGTGAGCCCCATCTCAAAAACAAAAACAAAGAATTGGCTAAGGGAATGACTGGGAGAGGAGTGCCACTGACATGTCATTTAATCCAAGATAAATGATAGAAGAAGGTATAAGGATATGAGAAGAGTGCTCCGAACAGACTCAGTTGTAAAAATAAAGACCTCCTGGGCCTGGAGGCACATGCCACAGGGGAGGAGGGAGGAGCATAGCTCTGTGAGCTCAGGGCCAGCCAGAGCTCCACAGTCAGACCCTGCCTCAAAAAACAAAACAAGGGCCGGGCGGTGGTGGCGCATGCCTTTAATCCCAGCACTCGGGAGGCAGAGCCAGGTGGATCTCTGTGAGTTCGAGGCCAGCCTGGGCTACCAAGTGAGTTCCAGGAAAGGCGCAAAGCTACACAGAGAAACCCTGTCTCGAAAAAACAACAACAACAACAACAAAAAAAAAAACCAAAACAAGGTAGCTGGCTCAGGGGTTAAGAGCACTGGCTGTTCTTCCAAAGGTTCAGTTCCCAGCACCCACATGGCAGCTCACAGTTACCATAGATACAGAGTGAGATCCTGCCTAAAAAAAAAGGGTGAGGGTGGGGAGAACATAGCCTGATAGAGGTGAAAGCACAATGACTCTAAGTTCAAGGTCATTCTTGGCAACAGAATGAATTCAAGGCTAGCTTGAACTACATAAAACTGTCTCAAAAAGAAGAACCCCAAAGCACATCTGAAGACTGATGAGAATGGTTCAGCTGAAAGAAGGATGAATTACCAGCTAAAGAGCTGAGCTCCAAACGCCATTATTTCCACATTTCTTTATTCCTCCACAGCTATTCCATACACTGCGGTTGCCTCAGATTGACACGCACCTCTGATTTCCCACAAGTGTGCTGATTCTTGGGCTGTTGCTGCCGTTAAGGGTAGTCAAGCTTACCTTTCTTCTCTCACCAGACCCTAACCTTCCAGGCTTCACTCGTGCCACTCCTCTGAGTGTCCTTACCACGTCTCTCCTGGACTAGGCGACTTGCTTCCTTGCCTCCCTTCACTATCAGTCATATTTGGTCATGGCAGCCAGAGGGGATCCTGTTACAACCCTTGTCTGCTCCGAATTTTCTCATAGCTCTCATTTCATTCACAGTAAAAGACCAAGTTCCCGCTGTGGCTCAGAAGGCCCTTTTTAATCTGGCCCCCTCTGCCTTCATCTACTGCCTGACCCCTCATTCATTCCAATCCAGTCACACTGGTTTCCTTAATGTTCTTCAAGCACTACAGGTTAAAAAAGAAGAAAGAAAGAAAGAAAGAAAGGAAGAAAGAAGAAAAGAGGAAACAGACAAACGTGGTTCCAAAGAGTGTGTACCCTTATGGCATTTGTATTTCCCATCCACTTTGCTGTCTACCTCATTCAGACAATCCCAGGATTCAAGTACTTTTTTCTCTTACACCCTGCTATCTATTTGTTAAAGTTTCTAATAGGGATGGAAGGAAGAAAGGCTAATTGGCAAAGCTTTGGGACACGCACACACACTTTCCCTGCTATGTGCAAGGAGGCTAGGTAGACAGGGTAGAGGGAATGATGCAGGAGGGAGGCAAAGGGGCAGCTCACTGTCTCAGCCTGAGGTTCGCTGTCTGGTCCTTCTTCACTGGGATTGCATCCTTTCTGGATCATGGGGATAGTGAGCGTGGGGTCAACACCTGCATTCTCCCTCTCCTCCAGAGACTTCTTGGATTCTAAGGAAGAACGGGAGGGATCAATGAGGCCATACTCTCTCCTTCCAACTTCCTCCCCGTCTATCTGTGCTGGGGCAGAGCAAAGGGGGAGGTTTCACTTACCCTCAATGAGCTCCTTCACAGCCAGGGAGAGCACACCATCTGACATCAACACAGTCCTAGTTTCTGAGGATGGCTTGGAGCTCTTGGGCATTGGTTGCCTTCGAGACCCATTCTGGATCAATGGGATGACCAGTTCCTTGGGGGCTTCTGGAGGATTCACACTGATGTGGGTACAGAGAAAAAAGGTTGGGAAAGTAGAAGTATTAGAAAATAGAAATATTGCCGGGCGGTGGTGGCACACGCCTTTAATCCCAGCACTTGGGAGGCAGAGCCAGGAGGATCTCTGTGAGTTCGAGGCCAGCCTGGGCTACCAAGTGAGTTCCAGGACAGGTTCCAAAGCTACACAGAGAAACCCTGTCTCAAAAAACCAAAAAAAAAAAAAAAGAAAAAAAAAAAAGAAAATAGAAATATCAACACCCAGCCCTATGGATCATGTTCCACAGGTTCTTTTTCACAGGTTCCCCCATTTCTTTTTGAAACAGTATCTCACTCTGTAGCCTAGGCTGGTCTTATAAACTCAGTCCTCCTGGTGCAACCTTCTAGTGCTGGAATTACAAGCATGCATCATCTCTCCTCGTGTCCCGCAGCTTTAAATGTGTCTTGTGGGAATCACTCCTAGGCTCTCAGCCACAATGACCTACAACATCATCATCTTTGGTGGAGATTCTCCCCAGTTCCAGGCTGGCAAACTGTCCTCTGGGTCTGGACAGCTGTCTTCCAGAAGTCCCTCCCTTAGGCCTTTCAGATCAGGTTTTTTTTTTTTTTTTGGTTTTTCGAGACAGGGTTTCTCTGTGTAGCTTTGCGCCTTTCCTGGGACTCACTTGGTAGCCCAGGCTGGCCTCGAACTCACAGAGATCCGCCTGGCTCTGCCTCCCGAGTGCTGGGATTAAAGGCGTGTGCCACCACCGCCCGGCTTCAGATCAGTTTTTTAATTATGCTGTTGATGGCCTCCCCAAACCTGAATTTGCCTCGTTCTCCAAATTGGAGAAGCTCCCACATTTCAGATGAGACACGTAGAGTCCTGTCATATCCTTTCTTTCCCTTTCTCAAGACGCACACGTCCTCAAGTCCCAACGACTTTTTCTCTGAGGAATATATACCTCTGGTCATCAGGCCCCATTTCACCCACCTCTCTAACAAACCTCCTCCTTCTTTCCCTTAAATTATTAAACTTAATAACAATTTATTATTTTTCTTTCTGTTTAACTTTATATATATATATATATATATATATATACTCTCATATAGCCCAGGCTAGCGTTCAACTCCTGATCCTCTTGGGCCAGCTTCCCAGGTGTTGACATTACAGGAGTTTGCCACCACTCCTGGATGTCTCCATAAATTTCTTGGGACTGTTTTTGAGGCTTTCCAAGCCACTGTCACCAAGACAAACAACTCGTATTCTGCCCTGCTTACGGCCACTGCACTGATTTCCAAAACGTGAAAGACCCGGCGTTTTACCTGTGCAGCTCCCTCCCTTCCACGGTCGTCAAGAAATCTTTCTCCTCCGAGGCCCGTCCTTCTCCGTCTCCGGTGTCTGCCAGTCGCCTCCGGGCAGACGTGCGAGTGAAACCGAAAGAAATCGGGGCCGGTGAAGCGGCAGCCGGCCGTACACTTTCTGGGTCCGCCATCTTCTCCCGATTCCCAGGCTAGCGCGCTGCTTGCTGGGAAGTTTAATTTAAGCTCAATTCGCTAGGGGCCGGCCGAGGAGCAAAAGAACAACCTATCCCACAAAGCAACGCCTCAGCGACAGGTCTTGAAGCCGTGGGAAAAAAGATCGCGCTCTTGGACGTCATAAGAACGCGCCGCGCCAAGCATTCTGGGAAATGTAGTTCTCAGTGATATAACTGTGGTGGAATATTGATTCGGTTCTTCCTAGGTTCTCAACTGTTTGTAACGCAGTTCTAGGGCATCCAGTACCCTCTTCGAACTCCGCAGGCACCATGCACGCACGTGACGCACATATACAAATGCAGGCAAAATGCTTATATTCACAAAATAAATAAATCTTGTGTTTGACAAGTACATAATGTGCATCTAAAGTGTGTACCTTCCTGTGTATTACTGATGTAGGAAGTGTCATAAGGAGAAAAAACAGGACTGTGCCAGGGACGTGGTTCAGTGTGTAGTGCCGGTAATTTACTTAAACTTGGGGCCTCGCCTCGGCAAGCACTGTACCATTGGACTATATTACTTTAATTTCTTTTCTCGTTCTTCTTTGTTTTTGTTTTCTTTTCTCAGCTTCTTATACTTTCATGTCAAATGTCTTTGAAGCACATGCTTTCCTTTCTTCCTTTTTGACTTATTTGTTTATTTATTTATTTATTTGGTTTTTTGAGAGAGGGTTTCTGTGTAGCCCTGGCTGTCCTGGAACTCGCTTTGTAGTCTAGGCTGGCCTCAAACACAGAGATCTGCCTCTGCCTCCCGAGTGCTGGGATGAAAAGCATGCACCACCACGCCCGGCTTATTTATTTTTATTTTATATGCATTGGTGTTCTGCCTGCACGTATGCCTGTGTGAAGGTGTCGGGTCTTTTGGAAATGGAGTTACAGAGGAGGAGGAATTGTCACGGGTCTAAGACAAACTCTACGTGAGCTGCTGTGTGGCTGCTGGAAATTGAAACTGGGCCCTCTGGAAGAGGAGCCAGTGCTCTTAACCCCGGGGCCATCTTTCCAGCACTGGAGCACAAGATTTCTATGTTGCAATTTTCTGACCCTTTTGAGCTTTTGGATGAGGCAATGGCTTCTGGTCTTTGACATAAAGGACAGGGACCTTCTGGGCTGAAGCCTCTTTGCCTGGGTGCTTTCTTTCTTCCTTTCTAACTTCCTTTCCCTCCCTCCCTCCCTCCCTCCCTCCCTCCCTCCCTCCCTCCCTCCCTCCCTCTTTCTCTTTCTTTCTTTCTTTCTTTCTTTCTTTCTTTCTTTCTTTCTTTCTTTCTTTCTTTCTTTCTTTCTTTCTTTCTTTCTTTCTTTCTTTCTTTCTTATCTTCTTGGTGAGAGCAGTACTGTTGTTGCAAGTCCAGCCTTAACAATAGGCGGTGGTTGGGGGCAGGTGTGGTGGTATTGTGTTCCCCAAAATATTGTGCATCCTAATAAACTTATCTGGGGTCAGAGAACAGACAGCCACTAGATACAGAGGCTAGAAAATGGTGGCACTCACACCTTTAATCTTAGCATTCCAGAGACAGAAATCCCTCTGGATCTCTGTGAGTTCAAGGCCACATTAGAAACAGCCAGGCATGACTCACGCCTTTAATTCCAGAAAGTGAGCCTTTAATCCCAGGGAGTGATGGCAGAAGGCAGAAAGATATATAAGGCATGAGGACCAGAAACTAGAAGCATTTGGCCTGGTTAAGCATTTGGCTGGTTAAGCTTTTAGGTTTTGAGCAGCACAGTTCAGCTGAGAGCCATTTGGGTATGAGGACACAGAGGCTTCCAGCCTGAGGAAACAAGACCAGCTGAGAAGTTGGCCAGGTGAGGTAGCTGTGGCTTGTTCTGTCTCTCTGATCTTCCAGCTTCACCCCAGTACCTGCCTCGGGTTTGATTTTATTAATAAGAACTTTTAAGATTCATGCTACAGGCAGGTTTCAGAATATCTATTATTTGAAATTCCTCCCTCCCCCTTTTTTAGACAGTGTCTCATTATAAGCTCTGAGTGGCCTGGAACTCACAGACATTTGCCTGCTTCTGCCTCCTAAGTACAGGGATTAAAGGAATGTGCCATCACATCCAGCTCCCATATACTTTTTTACCTAAATAACCTTGGATATTTTCTGTAACAGTATTATAAATTATCAAAAACCTGAGATTGCCGGGCAGTGGTGGTGCACGCCTTTAATCCCAGGACTCGGGAGGCAGAGCCAGGCGGATCTCTGTGAGTTTGAGACCAGCCTGGGCTACAGAGCAAGATCCAGGAAAGGCACAAAGCTACACAGAGAAACCCTGTCTCGAAAACACCAAAAAACAACAAACAAACAAACAAAAAAAACCCTGAGATTAACATTTGTGTAATGCTATTTCTTTTTAATCACTGAACCACACCTCTAGCCCTGGGTGCAGTTCTGTTAATTAAACTATTGTCCTTTTTCCCTTCCAGGATCTAATCTAGTATCTCATACGCTGCAAAATAATTGTATGCCTCCTTTGTCTTTTGCAATCTGTGATAGCCTTTGTCTTTACCGATTTTTTTTTTTTTTTTTTGGTTTTTTGAGACAGGGTTTCTCTGTGTAGCTTTGCGCCTTTCCTGGGACTCGCTTGGTAGCCCAGGCTGGCCTCGAACTCACAGAGATCCGCCTGGCTCTGCCTCCCAAGTGCTGGGATTAAAGGCGTGCACCACCACCGCCCGGCTCGTCTTTACCGATTTTTGAAAAGTACAGCTCAGTTATTTTGAAGAACATAATGTCAATATGGGTTGGTATGATAACTTTTCATAATTAGACTGAGATTATGAGTTTGAGACAAGAATTTCAGAGATGGGGCTAGGGAGATGGTCAGCAGTTAAGAGCACCTATTTCTCTTGCGGAGGACCTGGGTTCAATTCCCAGCACCCAATAGTGGCTCACAACCATGCTAACTTTAGTTCAAGAAATCCATTGTCCTCTTCTGACCTCCACAGGCACCAGACATATGCATGATACACATGCATACTATTCATATATATAAAATAAAATTAAAGACGAATTTCAGAGATGATATGCTCTTCTGATCATGAATCAGAGCCATGACGATGTTAATACGTCTTATTACTTTTTTTCGGGATGAAAATTTTTTTTGCGCCGGGCGGTGGTGGCGCACGCCTTTAATCCCAGCACTCGGGAGGCAGAGCCAGGCGGATCTCTGTGAGTTCGAGGCCAGCCTGGTCTCCAAAGCGAGTTCCAGGAAAGGCGCAAAGCTACACAGAGAAACCCTGTCTCGAAAAACCAAAAAAAAAAAAAAATTTTTTTTTGCAATGGGTTTCTTTTAGCCAAGGCTGACCTTGAACTCACTATATAGCTGAGGCTTGCCTTGAACTCCCGATTCTCCTGCCTCTACCAAATACTGAGATTATAGGCATGCATCACCAGGCCTGAATCCTGAACTTTTTTGGGGGGTTGCTGATTAGCTTTACTTATTTGTCCAACATTGCAAACATACCTGAAGACTGCATTCTCTAAGCATGTACAATTATATAACAACTAAAACCAAAAGTAAATAAATCAACCTTACTAAAAAGGTCTTGCTTTGATCTTAGTCCTAAAAATAATCACTTTTTTGTTTTGTGTTTTTGAGACAAGTTCTTTCTACGTAGTAAGACTGTCCTGGAACTCACTATGTAGACCAGGCTGGCCTCAAACTCACAGAGCTCAGTCTGCCTCTGCCTTCCGAGTGTTGGTATTAAAGACATGTGTCACCATGCCTGGCTCATAATCACTTTTTAACACAGAAAAATTTCAACGTTTTTATTTAGTTATCATTCAAGGTGGTGGTTGAATACAAACGGCCCCCATAGGCTCATATTTTTGAATGCTTAGTCATCAGGGAATGGCACTACCGGAGAGGGATTAGCAATATGTCCTTGTTGGAGGAGGTGTGGTCTTGTTGGAGGAAGTGTGTCACTGGGGGTGGGCTTTGGGGTTTCAGATGCTCAAGTCAGGCCCAGTGGCTCTGTCCACAGTGCTGCCTGTGGATCTGGATGCAGCACTCTCAGCTCCTTCTCCAGCACCATGTCTGCCTGCATGCCACCATGCTTCCTGCCATGATGACCGTGGATGGACTAAAACTCTGAACTGTAAGCGAGTCCTAATTACATGCTTTCCTTTATCAGGAGTTGCTGTGGTCATGGTGTCTCTTCACAGCAATAGAACACTGACCTAGACATTCAGTAATATTAAAGTATGTTTTCAGGAGTGCAGAAGAAACACATCAAAGCCTCACTGTGGTCAGATAGAGAAAATAACATAAAGAAATTGAGATGATCTAATCTAAAAGACTGGGTAGGATTAAAATGAAGATTTTTTTGTTTTTGGTTTTTTGAGACAAAGTTTCTCTGTGTAGTTTTGGTACCTGCCCTGGAACTCACTCTGTAGACCAGACTGGCTTCGAACTCACGGAGATCTGCCTGCCTCTGCCTCCTGAGTGCTGAGATTAAAGATGTGTGCCACTGCTGCCCGGCTAAAATGAAGATTCTTATAGCCCAGGTACATACCTACTGTGAATAATGAAAAAATGAGTCTTATTTCTGGTGCATAGGTTATTGGCATTTGAAAAACTTTATTTAGGGCTAGCTAGATGGCTTAATGGGTAAGAGTGCTTGCCACCAAGCCTGAAGACCTGAGTTCAAGCCGCAGAACCTACATAATGAAAAGATAGGCTTGGAGAGATGGCTTAGTGGTTAAGAACGTTTGCAGTTCTTCCAGAGGTCCCGAGTGCAATTCCCAGCAACCACAAGGTGGCTCACAGCCATCTATAATGGGATCTGATGCCCTCTTCGGGCATGTAGTTGTACCTAGTTCTATCTATCTATCTATCTATCTATCTATCTATCTATCTATCTATCTATCTATCTATCTATCAAAACATATATACACATATATATGTATATGTTCAGATAGAGCACATATAAATAAAATCAATAAATCTTTAAAAATTAAAAAAGGAAAGATAGACCTGACTGTCACCAGTGGTCTTCTGACAGCCATTCAAGTGCCATGGGACGGGCTGCACCCACTC